GACATTGTACTTATCTCCTCCCAACGAGTTTCCAAGAGAATCTTGAAGTTTTTTAATGAAAAATAACCGACTTTGGGGGAAGAGGACAATCTTAATGTCAGCGGGAGTAGAACAGTCTTTCCCTTGATGGCACAATCAGCTTCAAGCTGGAGAATCCTTATGTCGTAATCTGGTAAATATTTCGCAGTGCTTTGTATCCAATTATTTTTTTTTAAATTCTTTATTAAAACTCATTGATGAACTTTTGCCTTCAACAATTGGAAGAATTAACAGGCTTTTGTTCGAATTCTTGAAAACTTATCGTTTTATATTCCAATCGAAAAGGGAAAAATTAGGAAATACCTCCTCTCCCAATTAAACCCGGGGGCTTTTCACGAATTATGATATGAATATTAAACCGTTTGTTATTGGGAAAATCGGCCCTTGAGTTTTATTCCTGGGTCCGACCTTCGCATTCTAATGGGACGACATGGCACCCGACAATTGGAAATTCCTTTGGAAAATTGAGTGCTAAGAATTAGTGAAATTGAGTGCTTCCTTTGACTGGGAAATTAGCATCCGTTCCTATTCCGCAAAGGAACTCTTTTATATTCACAAGACTCACACTTAAATAATTATGTTTAATTATGAAGTGTAAATCGTATAATTTTGGATGGCCTAGGCCTGAAACCAAACCTAAAAGAAACATATTCCTAATATAAAGCACACTATGGCTTATTAAATAATTGCCTAAGTTAATATTTTCATAACTTTATATGTTGGTAATCAAATATCCTACACTGGCAAGAGACATTTTAACATTTAAGAAAATTAGCTGTTTTACCTACTCCTAGCTGTTGGATAAAATTTAATTCCTAGGTGTCCGAACGGTTCCGTTGATTAGTGGAGAAGTGACACCACTTAATTCTAAAAGTTTATATTTAGAAACCTTCCTTTTACTGAAATCGCAAGCCGTTATGCCTCTGCTAGGGGAGTTGGATCACTCATACCAGCCGATAAGACTTGCTACGCTGTTGTGTCTGATACGTTGCTAGTTAGTTGCATGGAACGTAGTTGCAGGTTGTTGAGGGAGAACCTAGGGGTTTGTTGAGGAGTTAACCAGGCTTATAGAGATAGATGTCCTACACTAAAACGTTGATAGAGTGCTATGTCAATAAGTCTTAGGAACCGTCTCTAAAGAACCCGCCCATTAAGTTCGACTTCGAAAGGAACCCAGATGCCAACATTAAAGTATGTTTGGGATCACGAGTAAGCAATGATATAGCCCTGGGTATAGTGACTCGGAATGAAACAGCAGATGTAAATAATAAAATCTATTATTGTCCTCTTTCTTCCTGTTAGTCAAGGTTATAAGCAGGGAAAGGCAAGTATCTGATGCAACATGTGATATAGCGCAATATTTAAAGTTTTTCTGATTTTGGTTTTTGCTATTTTTCATCAAATTAGTGATAAATCTGCAAATGAAATCGTAAATTTTTTTTGTTTATTTTAGTATATTTATCGCTATCTGTACATAATATACATTGAGCAAATAATTTAGCTATAAACAAATCTGACAGACCTGTCAGACCAGGAGGCAGTAGGGAGAGAAACCAACCAGTGGAACTCTCTTTTATTTAATTGGGGGGGGGAGTTAATAAGTTAATTCGGTGGGTTAGATAGAAGAAGGGTTAGATAGTCACGAGACCATCGTCGTTTTAAACGGCGAGGAGGATTTTAGGGTGAGATTTTGAGGAAAGAGTTAGGGCTACTGTGTTAGGGTAGAGGGATAGTTTAGACTGGAAAGTGAAAAAGCGGGTTCGAATATGATCTTAAACGAAAGGGATTTTAAGATCTTTATGGATCGTTTGATTGGTGACATAGAAGGGAGTATTGAGGATACGGCGGAGAACTTTAGATTGAAAATATTGAATTCGTTGGATATTGGATGATTTGGCCGAGCCCCGCAAATCGATTCCGTAGGTCCAAATAGGTCTGATGAGTGTTTTGTACGCAGTTAGTTTGTTATGTATGCTTAGTTTTGATTTTGGTCCAAGTAGGTGTCTGAGTAGTCAATATCTTTTGTTAAGTTCTTGCCGTTTTAATTTTGTATGTGGTTTCCACATAAGTCTACTATCTAAGTAAGGACGTAAACAAGGAAGCGGACTTGGTTCGATGGTAGTATGTTGTAAATGTGCACTGGTGGACAGGTTTGACGTTTGAGCTTAAACGTAAGTTGTTGGCTTTTTTTGTTCGTTTAACCTGATCCGCCACAGATTGCACCAGTTGGTAATAAAGTTTAGGTGTTGTTCGACGCTTCTGTTGCTAGGATAGGATTGGAATGTGTTGATAAGATTGCGGTGTCGTCTGCGTAGGTTGTGGGTTTGGATGTGTGGGTATATCAGCAGTGTAGATGGTGTAGACTCTGCGATGTCCTGACTCATGACTTCAATACGCCTTGTGACAGTCGGACGAGAAAACTCAAATTCTCTAATAGCAGACATGATTTCTGTTTTATTTTTAAAATCTCCAAATAAAGTCTCACCCGCTTCAATAAATGCTTCCTTCACCACCGATCCATCTTCGAATGGTTTCTTGTGTTTCGCCAATATATGAGATATTTTAAATGACGCGATCGTAGCAGCTTTTGATTGTTTGGCTGGTCTTGTGAACATGGATTGTTCTTTTTCAAACAAGATATCAAATCACTTACTTTTCGTTTTCTTAATTCACTCTGTGGCGGAAAATCCTTTTCATAGTTTTTATGAACCGTTTTATGATGCCTCTCTAAGTTACCACGCTTAGGTATTGCAACTGACGCACGACAAATAACACAAATGCACTTATCCTTCACCATACAAAAGAAAAATTCTTCCTCCCAATCCTTATTAAAATGATACGTTTTAGATTTCACTGCACTCATTTTCCACTATTTAATAATAAACTTTGTATCGACGTAGTATCGCCATCAAGTTACAATTCAGAATGACTCCAATTCCTGCAGGCACAACATTTATATCGGCGTGAACGAAAGTCTCGAATGTTCCCGTCAAACGCGCCGCTCGAAACTAGACTGTACTGTCTCTCGTTGTTTCTAGACTAGACTGTACTGTCTACTAGTCTAGAAACAACGCGGCTTTTCTTTGACAAGTGCCGCGCGTTCCTTTGATAAAGCCACCTTTTGCCGCAAGCAGTATTATTTTATTACGTAATACATTTTTGTAGTTTAGTTACCTACCTACTTATTAAAAATTTTTTTCTTCTCGACATCTACTCAAAAAGCACTCGCGATCGACTGTGGAACGCCTGTTTTGATTGGTGGGATAGGTCTCCTCTTTCTTGACTTTTTAAGGAGATGGCACCCTACCTCGGACAAGGTCAGCCACTCTTCTCTAGAGCGAAAAAATTACAACCAGAATCGGTGCTGATTCGTACTTTAAGCCATCGATCCGAGAGGAAGGATTTCATGATAAGATAGTAGAATTGAGGGAGGATATATTTTAACTTATAGAGGAGGCCGGGGTGCCATACTCGGTCAAATGCTTCCGTAACGTCCAGAAATACGGCTGATCAGTATTGTTCGTTTCCGAGAGCCGAGGATATCGTGTCGTCTACTCTGAAACACTACTGAACAGTGGAATGGAGGGGTCGAACCCCAAATTGATCGTTAGCATTTTTTGTCATGTGTATTTGAACTATGTGTAAGGTTATTTTGTTGTACATGCTCATTTTCCCCGTAATGTATGTATGAAAGTAAATTACTCAGTTGATAATAACCATTAAAACTCGTAGCACTTCACTTTATCAAGAAACATGACGTAGGGTAAAAAAATTAGTCCCCTCTCTCTTGACTTGTTAAAGAGATGGCACCCTACCCCGGACAAGGACAGCCACTCTTCCCCGGAGGGAAAAAATTACATAAAATTAACAGAGACAAAAGAGGCCCTCGTCCTTCCTCCGATGGGAAAGTATTTTAAGAAAAATTAAACCCGGGGGAATTTTCCTTCGGAGATAAATCGGTATCGCCTTGGAAATGCGGTCTTTGTACCCTCTAACTAAGAACTAACGATGTTAGCCTGTTCATCAAGGCCCTGGCAATAGCCTTCCACCGCCCGACACTTTGTCCTGAACCAATTTGCCATGGGCCGAATGGTTTAAACCCCGTGGAGCCTTGTATTATGTTATAAATAAATTTCTTATAGCGTAATTCCTTCTTACTAAAATTTTTAGACAACGTACTATTTATAAAAGGACAAATATTTTCTGTTTATATGCCAAAGTACGAAAACGGTGATAGCATGACGCCAAAAGAGCAAATGATATGAATTCAATCAATTATTTATTTATTTAAGGGCAATAGCCTTGGGGACCGCGGTAGCCGAGTGGTTAGCATGAGAGACTCTCACGCCGCGGTCGTGGGTTCGATTCCCACCGTCGCCTCTGGCCCTTTTTTCCCGATAACCCCCAATTTGAACACACAAGAATTCGTACTATGGCTAATATGCAAGATCATAAGGCCAATAAAAAAAAAAAAAGAAAAAAAAAAAAAAGGGCAATAGCCCATATTATACAATACGTACATGAAATACAATGAATATTTAAAACATGACAAACTTTGAAATATTGAATATTGACAATAATTAAATAGTGATATACAATATAATTTTGATAGCAATGTTTGAATTTAAAAAAAATATTTGGGATTTGACTATATGAAGCACTACATCGTGCATGAAAAAAAAAATACAAGAAAATTTACTTTTAATAACATTCTGAAGAATAGTGGCAAAGGAAGAGAAATAAGGATTATTAAGTCAAATTATTCAAAGGTTAATCTTTATGAAAGGTGTTATTAATATGAAGAAGTCAGTGTCACGAGAAGGATTCGAACCCACGACCTTCGGCTAAATACGGCGCCGCTCTACCACTTGAGCTATCGTGACTTCGTTCCGCTCGGACACCAACTTCCCATCTCAACCTCACCTGAGATTTTATGGTCTCGTTTGTCAAGTAGAGTAAGCTACTGGAGTATTGACGTCTGTTCCCGTGACACCCTGTATATAGTTTCACAGCAGATTGGCGGAGTATTGGTTATAGTTTTCAACTAGCAATAATCGCATCTCAGTAGAACTTCATTAAGATATTGCCACTGCGCAAGGTTAAAGCATTAAAGTTAGTTTAAAGTGACAGCGGGTTTTTTTTATAATCAGTTTTTCCCCGCTAAACACAGAAACAGGCTACATAATACAAAATGATTACAATATTAAGGTTGTAGAAGGTTATAAAGCCCAGTGTCTTTCGCACTTCTAACGCAAATGTAAAAAGAGTCAGGTTGCAATCTGCACATATGTAAATATTTGGTCAAATAAACTAGTTTTTCTTCTTCTTCTGTATATAGTTTGAAATATATAAAAAGAAAATAGTCACAGATTGTTAGTTCTGAATTGAAAGAGTTTATGTTACATCTCCTTCATTAATAAAATAATCGGTAATTGTCCCTTTACAAGTAAGGTCGATGTCAAATATATAGATAGTTCTTTGTTGTTCTGTGTGTACATCTTAAATATGAAGGGTGTCAAATTTTATTACCCCTCTTCAGTCGGGAGTAAATCGGTCAATTAGTAACCAATACCTTTCATAAAGATTAATTAATTGAAAAAAGTTAATTGGTCAATCGGGCCACGAGCTGTAATGGATTTAATTATCCAAATGAGTTTATATGATATGAATAAAAGAAGTTTTGGTAAAAGCTCTTTCAAACCAAATGTCCAGAGGCACCAAATAATTCGAAGACAGGGAATCATCAACACCAAAAGATCTTTGATCTAAAGCATCTAATCCTATCTTTTTTTTTTGTAATTATTATATTTAGGCCTAGTAGTGTTAGTGTATGTTAAACAACATGCAAAATGACTAATATTCGGCTATGGTTCACCAAACTAGTAGACTATTATGAAGTGTGCAGTTGGCAAATGTATTCATCATGGTGGCAATGACTACCTCGCGAAATTATTATTTTATTTTATTTGCAGGAGAATCGCATATAGTAATATATGTAGAGATTAGTGACCGTTAATCGATAGTTATTCAGATATCGTAAGATGCGGTCCGGTGTGATGTAGGTTTCAGAAAAACATTTTCTTTATCGTGCCAACGTTTCGATCTTTTATTGAGATCATCTTCAGGGCTCAATAAAAGATCGAAACGTTGGCACGATAAAGAAAATGTTTTTCTGAAACCAACATCACACCCGACCGCATCTCACGATATCTGAATAACTATAGTAATATATTTTGTGACTAACATGACTAGCATAAAGCTTTATTTTCTCACTTATTATGGTGTTTTTAATTTGATGTAAGCTAGAGAAAAACCAATCGATAATAAGTTCATTCCGTTCCAGCATTAGTTCGTTTATTGCCATGTATTTCATATAGTTGGTTTGACGAAGAGTAGGACAAAAAGCCTTAACTATCCTCGATTTAAATTGAGGTACATGAATTCTTACACATTCAACCAGCTTGGGACTATCTACTTTAGAATGTAACAAGTTATGGAGGAACAGCAAGTCAATGAGAAATCTTCTATCTTCCAAAGAGAGGGTACTAATTTCATTCAAAAGTGGACCATAATTATGAGGTTCTCTTTTAATTTTTAATTTAAATGCTCCAATTCTTTAGAACTTTTTTTTACTCTTTCCAGAAACAAAGTAGGCTTATTGTACATATTTCTGGGAAGAGTTCAAAAAAAGTTCTTAAGAATTGCAACATTTAAATTAAAAATTAAAAGAGAACCTCATAAATATGGTCCACTTTGAATGAAATTGGCGTCTTCTCTTTGGAAACTACAATACTATATTCAAGGATTGGTCCCACATATGTATAATGTAATACTTTGAGGCTGCCTTGCTGTTAAAGTCAACTGACTTCCTTCCAACAAATCCTAACATTTTTATACCATTAGTTCGAATTTTGTTTATGTGGTTAGTTAATTTCTTATGATGCCAATCACCTAAGTCTTAATCACATCACATCTTTCTAGAACACAGCCATTGATCACATAATTGTACTCTAAATCAATCATTTTTCTACTAGTGGTAATAGTTTTAAATTTCTCACAATTTAAATACATTTTATTATTTGCACGACATTGCTCTAAAGAGTTTAGGTCCCTCTGTAAGTGCAGTCAAGGATCGCGTCTTTGATTTTATAAATTTTGACAACGTCAGCAAACATTTTTAAGTAACTATACTTTATACATGCGTGCAGATCGTTAATAAATATTTTGAACAGTAAAGAGGACAGATGTCCACCTTGTGGTACTATGGTGTAATTAGGATCAACACTCTAACATAAAACCAAAATAACAGACGTTTATTTTTATGAATTGCCTACTTTTTTAATAGAACAATTGTTATAAACGCTGCCCAGTTTACAACATAGTCATCTCAGGATTTTTATGTGAAATTCTACAGAAATTAGAGTTAAAGTACGTTGGATTGAGTGAATGCAATGGTGCTGCTTAGGTTTTGTTTTTGATGTGTTAACAAGGTTACTCAGTTGCTTTTTGTTATTTGCAACGTGTGAACGACGAGAGCATCTCCGACCACCTTTGATCTCGTTTAATTTGATTACGATCAAAGGACTTTTTTTTATCACCGAGGGAGCCTAGGAGGGCCATTCTCGCGATTCCTTGTTGACTTTAAAATTCAAACAAGCCCTTTTCATCCTACAGGCTCACTTGAGCGTTTTTTGTTGTTTTTTAAAGCAAAACGAAAATGAGAAAATTCCCCAGGAGAAGAAGGACCAGGTGGCCCTGTCGTCCCAGTAGGACTAAGCCAGGGTTATTCTAGTATTTACAGTTTAAGACTAGAGTTTATTACGGCCAGGGGGATTGTTTTACGACCCGATATATTAGACATTTGACCCTCATTAAGAAATTTGCTGCATTGGCGGTTACAAAGCTTAAGCTGATTAAAACGATATAAATCGACCTAAATTATGAGCCGGGAGTTGAATAAATCAAACCGGATAATAGTTTTGGGAAGTTTTACATGAAATTGACCGAATCGCACAAATAATAAATTACCCGAAATGGAACTTTAATTACATTAATCACAGTTGATTCAGAAATGTACACATTATCAACGCTTTTTTATTCATTTTTGAGAAACAGTCCGCGTGTGGGAAGAAATGAACCAGAGAGCTTTACGCCGAATGGCAATAAAATAAATAAAAGCTTCTACTGGTATTTTTATGTAATGAATAGGCGTGTTACATTCCTTTGTTTGTATGAATAGCTCACACTTGAGAATAAATTTAATATTGGCTGAACTTATGCAATTGAAAGTGGGCCACCATGTGTTTCCATTGATCTTTTGGTTATATAAGTAACATGTAGACATAAAATTGGATTGAAAAACTAATTACATTCATTACGCGTCGATTCAACCCAATTTTTTCAAAAGGTTTTGTTCTCAATTGTTTATAAAATAAAAGAATAATCCAGAAGTTTGAAGATATGGCGCCGAATGTCGCTAATAATAAATAAAAGATTATTTGGAGATCGTGAGATGCGGTCTGGTGTGACGTAGATTTTAGAAAAACATTTAATTTATGGTGCCAACGATTCTTGTCATTCTTGTGTGTCGTGTTGAGAGTGCCCGGCAGAAAAATGACACATCTACACGGAAAAGAAACACTTTGAGCCCTGAAGATGATCTCAATAAAGATCGAAACGTTGGCACGATAAAGAAAATGTTTTTCTAAAAACTAGGCAGACCGCATTTCAAATTATCATTAACTAACGGTCACTAAACATCACATCAAACAAATAAAAGCTTCTATTGGTAGTTTTATTCAGCGAAAAGTCTGTTAGATTCCTTAGTTGTTCCTTCCTTGTGTTGCTATTTTGGTTATATCTTTAACATACAGACCTATACAGGCATTGATATACAAATCCCATTCGTTATGCGTCTTACATTACATCAAATTAATTTTTACCAAAGCTTTTTGTTCCCATTTTTAGTAAAAATATATGCGAGAGTGCCCGAGCAATTAATTGAAAGTGACGCGCCTAAAGATACAATGTGTTTACGTTAGAAGTTTGGCTATATAATTAATTTACAGACACATAAAAATGTACTCAAGCAGCAAATACGTTTGTTTACGCCTGAATTTAAATTTTATTTTTGTTTTAATTTAAGTTGAGTTTGTTTGGTCTCGTTGCCACGGGAACGAATGTTTACGCCTCCCGTTGCTATGGGAACCAAATGTTATGCTTTCGGTTGCCATGAGCACCAGTGTTTACACGTCGCCGTTGCTACGGTGAGTTGTTTTGCATTTTTCATTACCATGGAAACGCCCCTTCTTTTTTTTTGTCAAGTCCAGTCAACTGGACGAGTCGCGTCTCAACCGCCAAGAAGACAGCGTACGCTCTGTTCCTTAAATTTAGATGTTTCGGGCAGTAATTTTGTATGTTATTTTGTATTGTAAATCGATAGTTCAACGTTATGTACTGTTCAACAATACGGGCGTTATTATTATTATTCGTCCGCCGCAATACAATCTTGTATTCTATGTCTTGAGTCACAACGACCGCACGCCTGACATCTTCCAGCACCGCAGCAGAAGTGGACCCGACTTCAGTCTTTCCCGCACAACCCAACGCCACATCACATCTATACATCAAGAGTACTCACAAGTGAACTTTTAATTTAATTTAAATATATATACTTTTTTTGTATCTTCATTCTTAGTTGTTTCTTTTTTTTCTAAATTCATTGAAGAGCTCTTCCGTTATTTCTCTGTTTAATTAATTTTTTAATTTAAAACTAATACTATAATTTTATTTGATAGTATTATTATTATTACAATACGAAACTAACTTTGTCTACCTTTGCCGTAACTTTTTCTTATAATATATTTGTTATTTCTATTATATAACATTTTATTTTGCATGTTATTGCCTATTAACGCTATCTTAAGGATTTTTAATATGCAGAAGCTCTAGATCTAATCAGGTGAGTGATTTGAGTGGCAAAGTGTCGTAAAATAGATCTGGCAACACATTTGGGAAAAAGATTACCTCCCACAATCGGACGAGGTCGCTGAATAACCAACAACGTTTATGATGCGTGCGCAAACCAAAAGTAAAATTTTA